TCAGTCTTATTGGATGTCATTTAATGTTTTATAATTTTCTTATTAAGCTCTCTTACTAATTACACTCGTTTTTGATACCTTTTATCCTTACTAAAAATATGTTGTCTTTTTAAAATTAATTTCTCAACTGCTTGGTGCTAGTATACATAAATGAAATATTTAAAATAAACCTACCTTGATATTTATTTTGTAATTTGAGTACTCTCAGTCCTATAATCATCTGCACCATCTTTGGGGGTCCTATATGTACAATTATTTAACCTAGAAGTATAGATTGAAGTGGTTTTTTTTGTTTGTTTGTTTTGTTTTTATCTTTAACATTCTTATTTCTTTACCTTTTTTTTCCTTTTTCTTTTTTGGTATGTATTGTCTGCAACCTCTAGGAGTAGGAGTAGGAATGGAATAATGGCTCACCTTGTTTTTTACCTGCTTTTACTAGAAAAGTTGACATTTTCAGTACATAATGTCTTTGATGTACATTTTTTATATATGCCCATCTTCATCATTTCTTATCTGATTATAACCTTCTAACAAAACTCCCAGCTTTTATACCTGCCCCCCTACACAGGTTCTTAACATTCTTTTTAAGAGTTGTCGTATTATTTTCCGTCTCTGATCAAAGGCATAAAATTGCTCTGCATTTCAGTCATATGAGAAGCTGGAGTCTTTTCAGAAGCCAGCACGTTGCCCCGAACATGATGTGCCCACTGGCTTCAGTCACTTCTCCAAATTCCTTTACTGTTACTCTCCAGCATCTCACTCTGCTCAGGTCATGCTGGGGTTTGGGTCTCCCTAAAACATACCAGGCACACTCCCATCTGCTGGCCTGTGATCTGGCATTTCCTCTTCCTGGAACAGTCTCTTAGCTATCCCTTGGGAAATTCCTTTGCATCTTTCAAGTCTTAGCTCAGATCTTTCTTTTCAATAAATTCAGTTAATTAGGCTGTTGAGATCACAGGGCAAACGACTGCCCCCAAAGCTTAAGGGACACGTAGGCAGATACAATCATTCCAGAGCAGAAGCCCAGGAGCAGAGTGCCTATGTGTCCCTCAGTTTGGGGGGCAGTTGTTTGCCCTGTGTGATGGTTAAGATTGTGTGTCAGCTTGACTGGGCCATGATTCTCTGTGTTTATATGTCATCACTCCCATGATTGAATCTGCTGTAGTAGCCAGTCAGTTGAAAGGGCATTTCCTTTGGGTGTGGCCTGCATCTGAATATAAGCAGACATTCTGGCTTTTGGCTCACTCTGGATCCTGAGGCCGCCTCCTGTTTGTCTGACCTCCGGTTCTTGGGGCTTGAGCTATCAGTTCATCTGCAGATCCTGGGATTCATCGATCTTCACAGCCTGTGAGCAGAGTCCTTCTTTCCAGCCTGCCGATCTTGAGTTTGCCAGCCCGTGAGGCTACATGAATCAGGAGAAGCCTCTATCCTAATCCATGGACTTGGGATGTTCCAGCCTCTATAGTCGTGTGAGCTGTCTCTTTGATATAAATCTCTGTATGTATTTGTACTCTTTACTGGTTTTGCTTCTCTAGAGAACCCAGCCTAAGACACCCTGTGACCACAATAGCCTAATTAATTGAATTCATTGAAAAGAATGCCCTGTGACCTCTGAATAGCCTAATTAATACTGCTAACTGTATTGTTAGTGCTGTCAGTATTCTGCATTCCAATAATTAGGTCTGTCTTTAGTGAACCTGTGCCCTGGAAGTGGCTTCACCAGTGCTTCTCTGCTTCTCCCCTCCCCACTGTGGTGAGACAGGAAGGCTGAATGGGGCTGAGGTGGATATTTCACTACTCCATGTCTGTTAGACTCGGGTAAAATAGTTTTCCTTGAAAGCAGGCCTTGTGAAGGAGAACAGAATGCTCTGGGTGAGTTTCAATGGCTGCTTTTCCTCTGGCCCCTACTCACAGCACGAGGGAATTTTTCTCTGATCTTCACCCTAAGGACCTGGTAGGGTTCGTGGAGGTAAAACTCACAAAACTGTATGGGTCTCCCTAAGATGGGCTGTCTGGCATATTTAACCCTGAAGCTTGTGCATACCAAGCCTCCAGCAAGCCCTGTTACACTTTAAGTCTTGCTTCTCTGGTCCTGATCCTAGCGGTGGTTTCTGCTCCTGGGCTTCTGCTCTGGAATGATTCTCTGTATCTACCTATGTGTCCCTCCAGTTTTGGGGGCAGTCATTTGCCGTGTGACCTCACTACTCTGAGTTCAGTATGTTCAGCTTTTTTCTTGAGGATGGGAGTGATGACTTCTAAGCTCTTTACATATTGGACAAAAACCTGAAAGTCTTCATTTGTGTTTTGTATCATTACTATTGTCTATTTTCCTTTATTTTCTTGGTAGTATTTATTCATGCTGCTTTTATTTTTCCAGTGCCACAGTTTACATGTTTACCCTTTGCTAATGACCTTTCCATTTTGTAAATACCCAGCGTGTCATCCCTTTCCTGGACATGAGGGGCAGTGGCGCTGTTTGACTCCTGTGCCTCTATGTTGGGAGTTGTTGAAGTCGAGGACATCTGAAATCTATACGAGTGTTTGCAAAATCATCACAGAGTGCTCCCAAGTTTTTAGAATTGAAAGTGTGGTTTTTTCCTTCCTTACCAAGCCAGGTTTCACTAGCTAGTGTTTTCTAAAATGATTTTGCTTTTCCCTATACTAACTCACTAAAGGTAAATATGCTTGTGTTACTGCTTATCCCGACTGTGCTGTATTTTTCATACAGCTTACCACCACGTGACATGTTGTTGTTGTTGTTACTTGCTGTGGAGTCATTTCTGACTCAGTGACCCCATGTGTGCAGAGTAGAACTGCTTCATAGGGTTTTCAAGGCCGTGACCTCTCAGAGCAGATTGCCAGGCCTGTCTTCCGAGGAACCTCTGGGTGGCTTTGAACCACCAGCCTTTCGGCTAGCAGTCAAGCTCTTAACTGCTTATGCCACCCAGGGAACTTGGCATTGTAATTCATTTATTCACCCAAAGAAGTGATGATCCATGTGCATCCAGATATTTCTGTTTTGCTCAGTGCTGCATCTGCTTTGCCCATGTGAAGTAGGCTCTGTGTCCATATCACCTAAATCAATTTTAAGATGTCAGGGTCTTAAGGAAAGCAGCCTTGTCTGAGACACGAGGCTCTGCCAGGAGAAGGAAATCTAAGTTGTCTGAATTGAATAGGATGTTTCCTTTTTCTCTTGTCTCTACTACCCAGTAGGCTCTAGATCATCCATGTAATTGAGGATTAGCAGCCAGAATAACAAGCACACTCTAGGCATATGCACAGAAATGGGATTGGCAGGAATTTAGTCCCAGGCACATTGACCTGCTTTCTAACCCTGGCTCAGCAACATACCATTTGGGCAATATTGAGCAGGTGGTTAATTGATTGTAACTTTACTTGGCTATATCCTGTTTGAAGCAAAATCAGCTTAGGTGTGGCATAAGGAATAAATGAGCTAGTGTGCTGAAAGCTTTTTGCAAATCCCTTCAGATACTGTGGTTGCTCAATAAATGAAACATTTTTTCATGAATATATTGTAGGACTAGAAGTTAGGGTTTTTGATGGCTTTAAAACATGTAACCTGGCCCACTGCAGTGGAGAGTTTTTAATGTGGCACTGGATCAGAGTACGCTGTGACAGTCGTACCAGAAATAATTAGGGATGACCTTGACAGCTCACTTCATCCCATAGCGTATCTATTCTACAGCTGCTTGGCAGTTCAGTAAAATTGTAGCATGGGAAGTGCAGTGTAGCAGCCTTTTGTCTCCTCACTACACGTAGGAGCTAAAGGGTTGATGCTGTTTCACAGAGGCCAGTCCTACAGCCCAGAGGATACCAGTGGTCAGGAATCAGGTAGTCATGCTTGTGTGCGTTCCAGGGGCTGCAGATGTGAGAGAATTTTGGAGTGGAGCATCTGCAGGGTTGGTGTGTAAGTCTCTGTTTCTTAGGATCCATGAGCAGTTTAAGCTAAATCCCCTGCACATCAAGGAACTAACTAGAAAATGTGAATATCAGCCTCTTGTTCACAGCAAACACAAGGGCGTGCTATTCTGGTCTTCAGAGATTGACTCTTTGTCATCTTACAACATTAGCGTGTGTTTGTGTGGGTGTCTGGGTATCTGTTTGTTGTGGGGAGCAGTCACTGATAATTGCCATACACTAAGTAGCTTTGGATTTCAAAGTTTGAAAATTGTGATGATACATGGATTCTCTTGTTTCCTGTCTCTCACCTGAGCTCTGTTTACATTTTCAATACCCTTGCCTGTCTCCATGAAGGGACAGAGTGCATGACAGCACAACTGTAGAGTTACTGAAAAGTAGGTGACAGGCATGTAAAAATTCATAATTCCCCCAAATAACATTCTCTTTTCAGCAGGTGGACCTGTCAGCTCTTGATCACCTGGGATTCTTTCTTTAAGAAACTACAACAAGCTCAGGGCCTTGGGTTGCCAGTTTGTGCAGGCCACTAGGCCTCCCATGGCTGATGAGGTGCAAAAGGAAAACTGCCAGTCCTACAGTGTTTCCCAGTTGTTAACATCTCATCCTGCTTTCACCCTGTGCTTCATGTTTTGTCAAATATTCTGGTGGGTCCTGTGCAAGGAGGTGAACTTTTTTTTTTCACAAGACATGACCTGAATGTGGAAATACAGCTTTCATTGTAAAGCATTTCTCTAATTTATGCTGCATGTTCTGACTGTTCTAAACCATAAAGCTAGAGACGAATGAGACTGGAGTTGGTCACAGTCAAACTGTGAAGAGATAATTTCATTGTACTGGAAGTATTTGTTAAGTCTGTGAGACAAGATGCAGCCCATGAGGAAGTGAATGTAGACAGTGAAGGGATGAGACAGATGGCCAAACCCTGGCCTTAGTAGAACACAGAAACCTGTGTCAAATGCCCATGAAATCTTGTATCCCCCAGACTGTCAGCCTCACCTTTCCTTTCACACACGTTGGAGTACATGGTCCCTTGCTGAACCAGAATATGTGGGATGTTTTAGGACTCAGTGGCTGTTGAGGACGTGGCTGTGGACTTTACCCAGGAAGAGTGGGCATTGCTGGATCTTTCTCAGAGGAAACTCTACAGAGATGTGATGATGGAAACATTCAGAAACCTGGCCTCAGTAGGTATGGATGGCTTCTTTTTTTTTTTTCATTTATTTATTCTTTAGTGACCAAATATGTTGTTATGGATTGAATTGTATCCCTCAAAATATGTGTCAACTTGGTTAGGCCATGTTTCCCAGTCTTGTATGATTATCCTCCATTTTGTGATTGATATAATTTTCCTGTATGTTGTAAATCCTAATCTCTGCCTGTGGTTAATGAGGCAAGATTGGATTATGTTGAAGAGGATTAGGGTCGGATGTAACACCCTTGCTCAGGTTACATCCCTGATCCAACGTTAAGGGAGTTTCCCTGAGGTGTGGCCTGCACCACCTTTTATCTTACAAGAGATAAAAGGAAAAGGGAAATGAGCATAGAGTGGGGAGCTTCATACCACCAAGAAAGCAGTGCCGGGAGCAGAGCACATCCTTTGGACCCAGGGTTCCTGCACAGAGAAACTGGTCCAGGGGAAAATTGATGACAAGGACCTTCCTCCAGAGCCGACACAGAAAGCCCTCCCCTGTAGCTAATGCCCTGAATTCGAACTTGTAGCCTCCTAGACTGTGAGAGAATAAATTTTCCTTCGTTGAAGCCATCCACTTGTGGTATTTCTGCTATAGCAGCACTAGCTAACTAAGACATGTCATACTCATTGATGTTACTCCAGTATGTGGTCTGAGGAATGAGAATACATTGTTAAATAAGTATGGTCATTTGCTCTCTGGAGCATGCATATCCTGGCTTCCCCATGAATACTAAACTCCGTGTATTAAACTGACTGCCAATTTCAATTGTGGTTAAAAGCCTTAAGGCTCTGTAAATGTTGTGTGAGCGTTGACTGCAGGGTTTCTTTGGTGCACAGAGAGAATATTTGTGGTCTGGGACCTTGTAGAGTCTTACTGTGTTTATTACAAGTTCAACATGATTATTTTGCTACAAATAAATTCACTCCTGCCCGTCTCCAGAGACCTTGAGGACCAAAGTATTGGGTCAGTGTCAGGAAAGTGTTCATTGCTCTTCCCTGTCTTCCCTCATGATATGCCTTTCTCCATGAGCACCATGTCAGCTACACCCCTGAGGAGAGTGCAGAGAGCATTCCTCCAGGACCACTGGGTCATGGGGCACTAAGAGGCAAGAATCCTTTGAAGGACCAGGCCTGCATGGAGGGAATGAGATTTGAATAAATCAGTTAGAAAAAGTCTTTTTTGGTTTGACTATGTACTTCACAGATACCTGAGCTTGGTTTTCTGACTTTCATCTGTGTTCCTCTTTTAACGTTGCATGTGCATTGTGTCCAATACCTTTCTACTTTGCTTTATAGTCACCGACCCTCTCAATTTTCATGGAAGTATGTCCTAGTAAATTGGTTTTTGACTATTGTTGAAGTACTGAAACAGCAAAATGTATTAAAGTCTTTCTTTTCTCCCAGCTACCTTTTCCCTCTGAGTAATTTCATTCCCTTTTGTTTCATATTGTGAACCTGTACTTAAATCATTGGGTCAGTTTCTCGAAACCTTAATGATGGAGAAAAGCTATCCACTGAAAATATAATAATACCATTCATGAAAAATTATACCTGGTCCTCGATGGTAGGAGAAATCTGCGAATTGCATGGCATTGAAGATCAGGATAACAACCAGAAAACACATGTGAGGTGAGTGTCATTCGCTTGAGAGACGGCAGAGTTTCAGGAGAGAGTCTTAAGAAAGTATCATGGCATTAAAACATGTATGTGTATAAGGAGCCCAGGTGGCACGTATGGTTAAGCACTTGATTGCTAACCAAAAGTTTGGCAGTTCACACTTAACCAGTGGTTCTTTGGGAGGAATATCTAGCAGTCTGCTTCCATAATAATTACAGCCAGGAAAACCTTATGCTGCAGTTCTACTGTATGAGCTGGAATCGACTCAACAGCACCTAACAATGTGTGTGTGTATGTATACACATGTGCACACACACAAAAACATCAAAACCAAACCAAACGTGTTGCCGTCGATTCCAACTCATAGCAACTGTATAGGGCAGAGTAGAACTGTCCCATGGGTTTCCAAGGAGCGGATGGTGAATTCGAACTGCCGACCTTTTGGTTAGCAGCTGTAGCTCTTAACCACTATGCCACCAGGGTTTCCTATACACACGTGTGTGTGTATATGTATGTGTACACGTACGTATATGTACATATATATGTATGTATATACACACATGTGTATGTGTGTGTGTGTGTGTATATATATATATATATATAAAAACCCATTGCCCTCGAGTTGATTCCAACTCATAGCAACCCTATAGGACAGAGTAGAACTGCTCCATAGGATTTCTAAAGCTGTAATCTTTATGGAAGCAGACTGCCACATCTTTCTCCCACAGAGCCACTGGTAGGTTCAAACCACTGACCTTTCGGTTAGCAGCCAAGTGTTTAACCACTGCACCACTGGGGTTCCCATATATATGTACACAAACTCACGTGTATATATGTATGCATTTATATACGTGTGTTATATATATATATATATACACATATATGTATGTATGTGGTATATACATATATGTGTGTATATAGATATATGTGTGTATGTATATATATTTATATGTATATGTACAGATCCAGCCATACGTCTCTTAATGTCCACGATACCTTCTGTGAAATAGGATGTTATGTGATTTGGACATTGTGTGAACACCATAGTATATATACAGGCAGTCACCAGTGTACAAACGTCCTACTTAGTACAGCCCGTAGTTATGAACCAACCCCTGTGAAGCCTGTTATATTAAAAATTTAAAGTACATACAATGGTTCGTAATAACAAATAAGTGGTAATTTGTAGTGTGCATCAAAACATTATTATTATGATGTTAAAGATGTTTGTATATTGACATTTCTGAACTCTTATAACCTTATGGGACCATGGACATATAGGCGGTCAGACATTATGTGGCTCATGACTGTATATATATCTCAAACCCATTGCCATCGAGTCTGTTCCAACTCATGGCAGTGCTGCTGGGTGGGTTCGAACCACCAACCTTTAGGCTCTAGTGAAGCACAAACCTTTTGTGCCATACAGGTGTCATATATGTATAAGACCAGCTCTAATATTATGTGTTCACAGAACTTTTACAGTACAATATTTTCATAAATGAGTCAGATGTTAAACATTTGAAACATATTTCACTTATATACAGTTATTTATATACAGTTATCAAAGAGACCCATATTTTAGAAACACAATGAAAATAATGGTAGCATCTCTGCCAGTTGATTTAATCTGTGAAACATGAGACAATCCAGGGCAAAAAATACATGTTTACTCTTTATGGTAATGATGAAATAAATGGTAACAAATTTATATCCAACTGCATGCTGCCTATTTTTAACAGAAGGCATATGGTAGAGAACCTCTGTGAAAGTAATGAAGACAATCAGTGTGGACAGACCTTCAGCCAGATTCCAAATCTTTCTATGCTAAAAAGAACTCCTGTGGAAGCATATCCTTCTGAATGCCTTGAGTTTGGAAAATCCTTGATGGATCATTCATCACTTAAGCATCATGTCATATCTCACTCTGGATGCAGTGCCTCTCAGTGTAAGGAATGTGAAGAAGCCTGCAGTTGTCCCTCTTACCTCAGCACTCTTGTGAGAACTCTTCTTACTGGAGAGAAACCCTATGAATGTAAGGAATGTGGGAAAGCCTTTAGTCAGTCCTCAAGCCTCACTACACATATAAGAATTCACAGTGGAGAGAGGCCTTATGAATGTAGGGAATGTGGGAAAGCTTTTAGTCAGTCCTCAAACCTCATTAAACATATGAGAACTCACAGTGGAGAGAGGCCTTATGAATGTAAGGAATGTGGTAGAGCCTTCCGTCATTCCTCAAACCTCACTAGACATATGAGAACTCACAGTGGAGAGAGGCCTTATGAATGTAAGGAATGTGGGAAAGCCTTTAGTCGGTCCTCTGACCTTATTACACATATAAGAATTCACAGTGGAGGGAGGTCTTATGAATGTAAGGAATGTGGGCAAGCCTTTAGTCGGTCTTCTGACCTCATTACACATAAAAGAATTCACAGTGGAGAGAGGTCTTCTGAATGTAAGGAATGTGGGCAAGCCTTTCATAAGTCCTCAAACCTCATTATACATACGAGCAGTCACACTGGAGAGAGGCCTTATAAATGTAAGGAATGTGGGAAAGCTTTTAGTCAGACCTCACACCTTGCTGCACATATAAGAACGCTCAGTGGAGAGAGGCCTTATGAATGTAAGGAATGTGGGAAAGCCTTTCATGAGTCCTCACACCTTGTTATACATATGAGAATTCACAGTGGAGAGAGGCCTTACGAATGTAAGGAATGTGGCAAAGCCTTCAGTCGGTCCTCACACCTCACTTCACATATAAGGAGTCACAGTGGAGAGAGGCCTTATGAGTGTAAGGAATGTGGCAAAGCCTTTAGTCGGTCAGCAAGCCTTACTACACATATAAGAAGTCACAGTGGAGAGAAGCCTTATAAATGTAAGGAATGTGGGAAAGCCTTTCATAAGTCCTCAAACCTCATTATACATATGAGCACTCACAGTGGAGAGAGGCCTTATAAATGTAAAGAATGTGGGAAAGCTTTTAGTCAGTCCTCAAACCTCACTAAACATATGAGAACTCACAGTGGAGAGAAGCCTTATGAATGCAAGGAATGTGGCAAAGCCTTTCATAAGTCCTCAAACCTCACTATACATATGAGAATTCACAGTGGAGAGAGACCTTATGAATGTAAGCAATGCCGCAAAGCTTTTAATAGATCCTCGCACCTCACTAGACATATGAGAACTCATAGTGGTGAGAGGTCTTAAGTAAGGAATGTGGGAAAGCCTTTAGTCTTTAGTGCTTACTGAACATAAATACCCTCACAGTGGGAGAGACTTTAGGAATGTAAGGAGTGTGGGAAAGCATTTAGTTATTCTTCATCCCTCACAGAATACATAGGAAATCACCCTGGAGAGAAACATTTTGAATATACAGAATGTGGGAAATTATGAATCCTCAAACTTCACTAAACCAAAAAATCAAACCCAGTGCCGTTGAGTTGATTTCGACTTGTAGTGACCCTATAGGCCAGAGTACAACTTCCCCACAGGGTTTCCAAGGAGTGGCTGGTGGATTTGAACTACCGACCTTTTGGTTAGCAGCCATAGCTCTTAACCACTGTGCCACTAGGGCTCCCAAACCTCACTAATCTTACAAAAATTCACAGTGGAGAGAGGCTTTATAATGTAAGGAATTTGGCCACATATGTAAATTAGGATGAAACAGCAAATGTTAGTTGCAGAATTTCACTTCACCCTTTAACCTAAGCATGCACCTCCTACAAATAAGGCCAATTTTCTACCAAAAAACCCCCCAGATATTCACTGTCCCACACAACTAATGAAAATTTCTCCAGTTGTTCATAAAGTATCTATTACAGTTGGTTAAATTTTTTGAAGCTAGGATCCAAACAAGATTTCTACATTGCCTTTTTATTCTTAAATCTGTTTAATCTGTCTTACACAGAACATTCTCTTGATTGTCTTGTAAAGTGTTAAAATGTTCCGCATTCTGTTACAGTAAAACTTGTGAAAGTCAGAAAATTGTCAGAGAAGGAAAACTCACTGGGTGTGAGGTAGGATTCTTAATAGAGAGCAAGAGAAAAGTGGTAAGCACCCTGTCAAAGGTGGAAAACATTCAAGACCTGGAAAAACAGGCAGTCCTGTCGAGTTCCGGCTCTCACAGGTTTCAGTGTATTCATTTGATCATGATTTTGTTTAGTTTGTCTTTTGTAATTTTGTAAGGTAGACCCCCAGTTCTGTCTAATACAAATGTAATGCGAGTCAAAGATGTAATTTAAAATATTTTAGTGGCCATATTAGAAAATTTTAAATGTGTAAATGAAATTTTTAATGAAAAGTGTTATGTAACACAATATAACCAGTTATTGTCAGTGTAAAAATTGTAAATGAACAGCTAAAGTAATCTATATAACTTTATTTATGAGACATTTTACATCTCCTTCCTTTTGTACTCAGTCTTCCAGTGTCCAGAAACAGCACATCTGGTACATTTTACTGTTGAAAGGTAGATTCACAATCCCAGGTTACTCCAAACATACTTTTCCAATAATTGAATCAAGTTTATTGTTATATTAAGATTAATTAAATTCAGGTTTTTAGTTGCACTAGCCACATAGGTTGTTGACACAACCCTATTAGTGTTTGAATGCAAAGGAAGTCCCTGGATGACTTTGTACTTTCCTATTGCAGACCTGGAAACCCTGGTGGCATAGTGGTTAAGAGCTATGGCTGCTGACCAAAACGTCGGCAGTTCACATCCACCAGGCGCTCCTTGGAAACCCTATGGGGCAGTTCTACTCTGTCCTATAGGGTCACTATGAGTCAGAATCAACTCGATGGCAGTTTTTTTTGTTTTTTTTTTTTTAATTGTGGATGTGGAATCAAGCGTTTCTCCCCAAACCTCTGGTTCCTTTTAAAAATCAAAATCTTGCAATACATGGGCTCAGTGCTAAACCAAAACCTGTTGCCATTGAGTCAGTTTTGTCTCGGCTTTTCAGTAGACATCTAAAATACATATTTTCTTACATCATAAATTCTTCTTTGGTCTTACTTATTCATTGTCCAGCTTTCACATGCATATGAGGTGATTGAAAATTCCATGGCTTGGGTCAGGTGCACTTTAGTCCTTAAAGTGACATCTTTGCTTTTTAACAATTTAAAGAGGTCTTTTGCTGCAGATTTGCCTAATATAATGTGTCATTTGATTTCTTGACTTCTGCTTCCATGGGCATTGATTGTGCATCCAAGTAAGATGAAATCCTTGACAACTTCAGTATTTTCTCCATTTATCATGATGTTGCTTATTGGTCCAGTTGTGAGGATTTTTGTTTTCTTTATGTTGACATCCTTGCCAGCATCAGGGCCCTTTGTTCCTTCCGGAAGTCACCAGAGAGACCACTGCAGAGGAAGCACATGGGTGAGAGACTGACTGGACCAGGGCCCAAGGGCCCCACCTTCCCAGGATCCCACCCATCTCTTTCTCCCTCCAGGCACCCTTAGCTTCTAGAATGAGGTGAGGCCATGCCCATCCTCATGTCCAGATGCTCCCTGGATCTCCAAACCTCCCTGCCCATGCTTTTAATGAGTTACCTGCTTACCTCCCTGTCCCCCTCTGGGCCAAAAAGCAAGATCCTTCCTGTTCTATGAGGGCAGCTGTCCCTGGAAGTGATTTCCTACAGTTTTGCACGTCTCAGCTGGGCTCTTAGTCTGTGGATAGAGTGAGAGCTTGGGTGATCCCCACCACCCAGATACCGCACAAACCCTAGTCCATTCCGGACACACAGGAGCCGAGATAGTAGCCAAACCTGGGTCCCCAACTGTTTCCCACAGCCCGGGGTCTGCAAATCCCTGGTTTCCAATGATCTCCCACTTTCACCACCCCCAGGAAACTGAGTTAACCCATCCCCTGTCCCTCCTCACTGTGGAGGAGTCTCATCTCTCCTGATCAGGGACTACAGCTGTTTCTGGCTGAGGTTGGTTTCCTGGGAATTCTCATCTGTCTTTGGCTCTGATCCTGGAGAAAAGGGAGTTTAGGAGACTGACCACCCCCTAGGCATATAGAACCCCAAGTCCATCTCTGATCATTATTTGTGGGTCATTAACCAGGCCATTTGGACAGTGTCCTGGGTGACACAGAGGTATAAGGTTCCAGGGAATCATTGCCCACAGTTCTCAAAGTCCCCTGGGGACTATAAGCCATTTTTCATCCCTCTTCCCAAAATAGGAGTCCCTGGGTGGTGCAAATGCTTACACAATCAACTACTAACCCAAAGGTTGGCAGTTTGAACCCACCTAGGAAAAAAGGCCTGGCAATCAGCTTCCAAAAAGATCACAGCCTTGAAACCATATGGAGCGCAGTTCTGCTCTACACATGTAGAGTCACTATAAGTCAGAATCAACTGGATAGCAACAGGCTTTTTTTCTTGTCCCCCAAATAAAACCCAACCAAAGAGGCATGACTCTGTATCCCCAAGTGCTGCTCTCACTTGACTGGGAAGAGAGTATTTGCTGCACCACAAAGGCTCTTTAGGGAGATCAAATCAAAACCACAATGAGATACCACCTCGCCCCAGTCAGTAATGGCAATGAAGTAAACAAACAGAAAACAACAGGCTTTATCGAGATTGTGGAGAACCTGGAAACCTAATCCACTGTTGTTGGGAATATAAAATGGTACATCTTTAATGGAAAACATCTTTTTTGACAATTCCTCAAAAAGGTGAACATATAACCCAGTGATCCCAATCTTGGGTATGTACCCAGAAGAAGTAAAAGCAAGAATGCAAGCAGAAATCAGTGTTCCCTGCAGCACTTTTCACAATAGCCAAAGTAGAAAAAAAAAAAATGTTTATCAACAGAAGAATGAATAAACAAAATGTTTATTTTGTTTCTTCATTTCTACTTACGACTGAGTATGTATACAATGGGATATTTCTCAGTCATAAATAGAAGTTCTGATGCATGCCACAACATGGATTAAAGTTGAAAACACTATGCTGAGTAAAAAGTCTCAAAAGGATAACTACTGTATGATCTCACTTATATGAAATAAATGTATAGAAACCAAAGATTATTAGTGGTTACTAAGGGTGGGAGGAAGGGAGAAAGGGGGAGTTTTTGTTTAGGGGAATTGAGTTTATGCTAATGATGGAATAATTTGGAAAAAGATGGTGAGAATGGTTTCACAATATGAAGAATGTAATCAATGTCACTGAATTGTACTTGTACAAATTGTTGAATTGGCAGATGTGTATATTTTTGCCACAATAAAAGAAACATTCAGCTGCAAGGCAAAACTGATAGCTGAGATTATAGCACCTACAAAAATACTTATCTTCTAAAAACTATACAAATCATACGGCATCTAGAAAAGAATATTGACCAATACAATTAAACCAGAAAAGAAGAAATAAAATGTATGTAGATGAGAGAAAAAGAAACAAAACTGTCCCTATTTATAGACTACATGATTGTCTACACAGAAACCCTCAAATAATCTACCAGAAAAACTAGAACTGATAAGGGAGGTTAGCAAGTTCTCATCCTATGTGGTCAGTACGCAGAAACCAGTTGTGTTTCTACCTAGTAGCAATGAGCAATTGAAAGATGAAAATTTAAAAACAACACTATCTATAGTACCGTTAAAAGTATGAAGTACTCAGAGATAAATTTGGTAAAGATGTGCAAGACCTGTACACTAAAATATTTGGAATATTGCTGAAAGTACAGAAGACCTAAAGAAATGAAGATACACACTCTATTCATGGATCGGAAGACTCAATATTGTTAAGATGTCAGTTGTCCCCAGATTGACCTGTAGCTTCAACAAAAACCCAATTTAATTCCCAACAACATTTTCACAGAAATCAACAAACCAAGTCTAGAATTTATATGGGAAGGTAAAGGAACTAGAATAAGCAAAAAATCTTGAAAAAGATTAAGTTGAAAGACCAGCACTACCTGATTTCAAGACTTACTAGGAAGTTATAGTATCCAAGAGAATATGTGTTGGTGAATGAATAGACACATAGACCAAGGGAACAGAATAGAAAATTCAGAAATAGACTCACATATACATAGTCCATTGATTTTCAACAAAAATTTAAAGGATTCTCAATGAAGAAAAGATCATTTTTCAACAAATGATGCTATAAAAACTGGACATTCATGTTAAAAATATATAAGAACCTTGATCCATACTTTATATTCAAAAGTCAACTCAAAAAGGATCATAGGCCTAAATGTAAAATCTAAAACATAGATGTAAACAAAGAAGAAAATATTTGTGACTTTGGGTTAGACAAATATTTCTTAGATATGACATAAAGACTGGTTCATTGTATTGAAAAAATGGATAAGTTGTCCATCTTCAAAATTTAAAATTGCTACTACTAGAAAGACACTGTTAAGATAATGAAAAGGAAAACCATAGAATATCTGCCGAACACATATCTAATAAATAAACTTGTATGAAAGATACATAAAGATCTCTGAAAACTTAATGATAAGGAAACATATCCAGTTTAAAAATGAGCAAAATAGCTGAACAAGATACTTCACCAAATAATATGTATGACTGGCCAGTATTTCTGTTACTAGTCATCAGTTGAATGCAAATTAAAACCTCAATGAGATACCACTGCAACACACTGGAATGGCTTAAAAAAAAAAACCTTACCAGTTGCCTTGAGGATGTGGATGACCTAGAACTCTCATATACTGACTGTGGGATTGTGAAATGGAACAGTCACTTTGGAAACATTTTGACAGCTTCTTACCAAGTTAAACATGCATTTACCATATGACCTAACAAACACACTTGTAGGTATTTACCCAAAAGAAATAAAAAATTATGTTCACTTAGTAGCCTGTACACCTAGGAGTTTTATTTACTATCACCCAAAACTGTAAAGAACCCAAAACCCCCAACTGGTGAATAGATGAACACACTGTGGTGCATCCTTGCAGTGCGATCCTTCTCAGCAATAAACTGAGCAGTAAAAACAAACTAGTGACACACACAGTAATGTGGATGAATCTCAAATGCATTGTGCAAAGTGAAAGGAGCCAGACTCAAGAGACTATATACTGTGTGATTCCATTTATATGACATTCTGGAAAAGGCAAACTATGAATAGGAAAGAGAGCAGTGCTTGACAAGGGCTGGGGGTGGGGAGGTTAATTCAAAAGGAGATCAGAAAGAATTTGGGATGATGAAAGTGTCCTATATCTTGTGTATGATTGTCAAATGTCATGGCAAATACTGTAGAGGAGGGAGGAGACTTTCAGATGAGGTTACCTGCACGCTTCATCTAACTGGACATTCATCTAGCATCCATTTTGTGCCAGACAAGAAATAAGGGTAGGAGGAGGTATTCTTGAGGGGATTACTATGGAGAGGATCAGACAAGGCAAGTACTAAATGATTCGTTTAAAAAAGAATAAAGAAAATGTCACGCCTATTCTTGAACATAGACACAGGAGGCCACAGGCCAGCACAGTATGCCCTCCTCTGCCTCGCCTGCCTGTGATGGCATCTGTGTAGCTGAGCAGGGCAGCTCCATGTTAGGGCATGATCAAGACCATCCAGACAAGATCCTCTCTCAGCACTCCATTTTAGATGAGCTGGGTACTGTGCTGAATCATCAGTCTGGTTTCCCCTACAGGCCCAGCCTTCCCTGGGGAAGATCTGAGTTCTGTACACA